GGAGTACTACAAGATGTTTGAATGGTTGAAGGAAGTCTCAGTTACAAACAGGTGCAATCCTGGCTCTGCTGGAGTCAATACTAAAACTCCCATTGACTTTGATGGGGTTGGGATTGCACTCTGTATATTTTTAATCTTCTAGGTAAAATAAATACCAAACTAGCAAAAAAAATATATATATATATATATATATAAAACACTTACTTCTAATGCTTTTAACGCCTGCAATCTCCTTCAAAGCCTTGTCAGTGTCTTTGTCCCCATTACCCATAGATGTTACAATTCCTACAGGAAGTCCTTCATTCCTGAAAGCCCTAGCCAGCTGGTACGCCGTGTCCACCCAGATATCCTCCTTCGAAGAGATGATGCCAATGTGAGCCCAGTGAAAGTATTTCATTAAGATGTATAAAACTCTGATTGGGGAAGGCAAGGTCCTTGCAAGTGTATGCTCATTTATGGCAGGATCCAGCTCAGAGTTGATGCACGTCCATGAGAAGATGGCTTTATTCCAATTACTCCCTAACAATGTAGCAACATCACAGTAGCCAGGGTTCAGAGGCCCTACAAAAACTGATGAAACTGTTTCAAAGTCAAGGAATCTAGCCAGGGCTTTGGACGTTTCACATCCTTCTTGTAGGAGTATGTAATCCAACTCCTGGTCAAGATCTAAAGAAGGGTCTTCATTTATTCGGTCCACTGCTAACTTAGCAGCCACTTCAGGAAAGGCTTTGGAAAAGAAGGGGTCACAATCCCAGGGTCCTACTAGTCCCATTTTAAAGACTTCACAATGTACTGGACAGCTAAGCATGATTATGCCCAAAACCAGCCACCCCAGAGCCTCCAAAAATGAAGATGTCCGATAGGACCTCAAAACACTGGACTGATGCAATCTAATGTGCTTCCACAGCACCCGGAACAAGCTGTTAAAACACAGCGGGAGAAAGGACATTGTCTTACAGCAGGTTAGAGCCAAGCTGAATTCTTCAGGAGCCCATACGGTGTTCTGCCAGCTGTTGGAAGAAAAGCAGACTGCATTTACCTTTCTTGTGGTTACATTGTGTGTGTATTTGCAGCTGTTCTGTTTGCAAATGCAGCACTCACATTCATCATGATACAAGTTTAAGCAGGCTTTCTAGGGGATACAAACATTTGCTACTACAGTTTCACTCTTCTTTTTCCCATGATACTATTTTATTGTATATTATATTATTGATATTTATTATTAATAACATTCATTATTATTAATCCTAACAATAAGTATCACAATAATAAATTGTCTTAGATTATATAATACTTAGGATTAGAGAGCAAAATGTACTTGCATTCATTCTGAAATGCACAATCGCTGTAATACTAAATCAGTAATTATTTTTATTCTGGGAGGCATATTTTTAAATCCATATTGCCTTTGTTTATTGAAGCAAACAATATGAAGCCAACTTATCCACTGAAATGAAACATTTAATTCTACTGAAGGGTGGATTGCAAACAAAAATAAAATCCATGAAAGAGACTATAAAGGTGAAATGGGATTGATCGCATAGACTTTGCAGAACGTCTTACTGATTTTGAGTGTATAAAGAATGAAGGTTCAAATCCCATGTGTGCATAACTATAGAGCATATAGATCAAATGAGAACTTTTTGTGCAGTGTGTTGCATTTTAAACCCGGTAAAATGAAGGTTGGAGAGAAAGATAATCACAGTGCGGAGAAAAAGAAGGATTAAGGTCTGTTAAGTAACACTCAAGCACAGAGACTGTAAAGGGATGTGCCATCATTATTCCTTTAAAATATAAAGATCAACTCCCACAAATACCCTGAGAATATGAACCTTTCTAGTCACATCCAGGCTCCAACATCAGAAACCCCCAGCAATTTCCCCACTTTTTTCTTTACAATAAAATGTCATTTTGTTTGAAAAGTTGGCTGATCAGAGTAGATTTGCTCTCTAAAATGAGCAGACACCCTCTACTCACCGGGTCACCAGTGCATTCTTGCAGCCGTGTTGCTATCCTAGATCATCTGTCCCGGAGATGCAAAATACCGAATTGCGGGGAACCCACGGTCCAGCATGTTCTAGAAATACGCTCCACAGATTCTGTAGCCCAAGGGAAATAATCCTCCTGAATAAATCACCCTACAGACAATCAGCTCCAGGTTAGCGGCAGGGCTACTTCTTGAAACCTGGTCCGGGTATAGGTAAAGGCAATGCATGTTCAGCACCAGGGACAGTTCTCGCCTTGGGACTCCTGATGGCTGATGATGAGGCGTCTCCAAACACTCATTACATGGCACCGGGTAGTTGAATAAAGGGGGTTGAATTCTCCACACCCCATGCAGAGTCAAAAGGCTTCCTGATCATACGTGGCATAAGTGATCCTCTGGTTCCAGGTGTTTTGTGTTGCGATAGCTCCTCAAAGCCTACCCCTGACCCCAAATTCAGCCCCTGTGGGGCTCTACTGGTGCCCCCCTCTGAACTGTCTGTGCACAGGCTCGCTCACATTTAACTTCAACCAGTAATTGCAGGCATGCCATATTAAGGCTCTGCCCTTGGATTAGTGGGATTTAGTTCTTGGGAGCTCCTTTTGTTGCACTGACCCCTGCAGCAGCTCCTTAAATCTCCCTGCATCCGCAGCGGGGACAACAACTGTTCTTTCCAGTAAGGGCTTGGCTTGGGGGAGGCCAGGGGGAGACTGTGCATTTCTACATCTGCCCAAACTAGGAAGTCTCTGAAAATAATTTAGTAGCAGCTGTTGGACTGATTGCCCATGGGATAGGCAGGAATGTCCTGTTCAGTTTTTTAGTTGCTCAGAATTGAAAGGGAGTTATTTTCCCATCAGCCAAAGCAACTGCTTAATGTGTAGTATAATCTATAATCACAACCAGTGCTTCTGCAGAGCCTTTTTTTATTATAGTGAGAGGCTGTGTCTTTTCTCCTCATCTGCTCATTAGTTTCCTCTCGTGGCCCTGATTCAGCAGTGTTTGTGAGAAAGTGCCTAATTTTAAAGAGCCAAGTAGTCCTACTGAATTCAGTGGGACTGCTCAGTGCTCATATGCTTAAAGTTGGATAAATGCTTAGGAGCCAGGCAGACCTGAGGCCTATATTTAGCACATTGCTTTCTAAGCTGCTATTTTGAGAAATAAGCACATTAAAGAGACAAGGTCTTATGTTTTGTGCAACGGGATATACTGCTAGGGGGTTTTTTTCTTGTAGGTAAATATTTAGATGGACACAGCGTTGTGTTCAAACAACAGAACTGAAGTCCTTGCTGTTTGTAGCTTTAAAATATTATTTTTAAAACCCAGCTTTTTCCACAAGGGATAAAAGCTTTTTGATTTTGAAAAGAAAGCTGAGGTCTGAGTTTACCTAGCGTCAGCTCACAATTTTTGGATCTCATTATGCCTTTTTCAGCAAGATTAAAAAGCTATCTATTACCAGAACTATCCTCCCCGTGTAAAATGTTTAAGAGCCACGATTAACTCTGTGTATAACCTTTTATTTAGTTTTTTGGATAAATGAAATAGATTGAGCTTCTAAGTCTCTTGTTATATATCATGTTTTTGAAACTTTAAATCATTCTGGTATCTCTCCTCTGAACCTTTTCTAATGTTTTAATGATTCCTGTGAAGTATGGATTTCAGAGCTGGACACAGTTTTCGGTAATATATCACTAGTGAGTGAGACCATACAGAGGTAAATCCACCCCTCTTCAGCTACTAGATATGATCCGAATTATAAAGACTGCATTGGCCACTTAGCTACAGCATCAACTAGGGGCTCATGTTCAGTTGGTTATCTGCTATTGCGTGCAAGTTCTTTTTTCCTGAGTTCTGTGATACGGTACCCTATCTTGTGAAGGTTATCTAAAACCTTTGACCCTAAACAAAGTGCCCAATTTTGTTTTTTGGCTGTATTAAACCATGTTGTTCAAAGATGTCAATCTCACCAAGAATTCCAGGTCGGTTCAGTATCAGTTGCACATATTACAAGTAATGATCCTCACAAGTCTATGAAATGTCTATGAAATGAAATAAAGTAAGATATAGAATAGCACTGGGGCAAGAATGGATTCTTGCAGGACCCCACTAGAAATATTCCTGTTGGCTGAAGAAATCTCATTTACTTTTATCTTTTTCAGTTGACTTGTTAACCAGTTCTGAATCCATATTCACATGGGCTGCACTGATGCTTGTACATAGCATTCATTATTTTTATCAGGATGTTAGGCTGTCTTTGAGACTGGGGATGGGATATAAGGAAAAACTTCTTCACAGTTTATGTGACCAGACTCTGGAATAGACTCCCAATGGGGGTGGTGCAGGCACCTACTTTGGTCATCTTCAAAAAGAGACTGGACTCGCACCTTGCTGGGGTTATTTGACCCCAGAAGTCTTCCCTGCACAGAGCAGGGGGGCTGGACCTACTGATCGCATGAGGTCCCCTCCAGCCCGAAACTTCTGTAAATCTGTGAATGTCACTGCACAGCTATACATCTGCAAGTCTTGCCTTTGTACATCTGTAAGTCTGGCTTCAGTAGTACTCAGAGTTTTACAACAGATTTTGATGAAAAGGATAATTTTACATTTAAATGAGGCAATTAGTGGAATATAAAATAAAATGCAACATGGGTTTACCAAAAGCTGATCATGCTAGACTAGTAGGTAATAGGTTTCTTTGATAAGATAACTTACTTTCTAGATGCAAGAAATGTGGATCTTCTCATCTCTCAGGCCTTCAATGAAGCACTGATATGCTACCACATAGGGGATTATTAGGTAAGATGAAGAGACGAGGATTAGTAGAGGGGTTCTAATAGGGGAAAGGAGTTAACTCAAAAGGAGACAGAAATGTATTGGTTTGAAAGGGGAGATAGTAGACCAAAGGAACGTTACTAGTGGAATTCCTCAAGGATCAGTTTTGAGATGGATTCTGTTTAAATATCTTCACTAATAACTTTGGCATGCATTAGGACTGTACTGATGATATTTGCTAATTGGACAAAGTTGGGAGGCTGTATTGCAAATACCAGATGAAACAATTCATAGATTCATAGATTCATAGATGTTAGGGTTGGAAGTGACCTCAATAGATCATCGAGTCCGACCCCCTGCATAGGCAGGAAAGAGTGCTGGGTTCAGATGACCCCAACCAGATGCCCATCTAACCTCCTCTTGAAGACCCCCAGGGTAGGGGAGAGCACCACCTCCCTTGGGAGCCCGTTCCAGATTTTGGCCACTCTAACTGTGAAGAAGTTCCTCCTAATGTCCAGTATAAATCTGCTTTCTGCTAGCTTGGATGACTCTATGGACCAGATGGATGACTCTATGGACCAGAGGTAATGTAAAAGGTATGAAACTCAATAGTACAGTCCTCAAGTGCAAGAGGATGCACTTGAGGACTAATACAAATTTTTGCTGTAACCTGGGAATTCATCAAGTAGAAATGACTGAGGTGGACTTGGATGTATTTGTCATCCACAGCATGGCTATAAGCTGCCAATGTGATGCAGTCTTGGAAAGGGTGATCCATAACATAGCAATCGAGATATTTCCAGTACAGGCAGAAACATTGGTGCCATTGTACAAGAACTTGGGTAGGGACCCATCTAGAATATTGTGTACAACTCCAGTCATCTGTATTTAAGAAAGATTAAGTGAAACTGAAAATTGTACAGAAAAGGATTACTAGGATGATTGGGGGAATGGAGATCCTAGCCAAGAAAAGGAAACTGAAAAACTTGGCTTGTGTAGCTTAGCAAAGCAAAGGCTAAAGGGTGCATAGTGGCTGTCTATACATTGGGGAGTAA